CTGGTTTCCATTACCTCTCCTGCTCACAGTCATTACAGTTCTTAGTTCAAGTTTGCTGAGTTCAAGTTTTGTCAGGTTGCGGTTCCAGGAAGCATCCAAGTTTCAATTCTGCTAATGCTGTTTTCTAGTTTTTTGTTTGTGTGCCCTTTGCTCTCCAGAAATGAAGATTTTTCGGCTCATGCTTATTTCCCAAATACTTGCTCTTAAAATGTCTCAAGGAGCAGCTCTCGGTTGAGTCCACCTTGGATGTCCCTTCCCCCAGCAGAAGGGGAGAGCAGAGCAGTTGAACTCATGTCACAAACAGATGAGAGAGGATTGTAACTGCTCCCAGTTTCAGGCTTGTTGTTTTCTTGGCGTCACCATTGCTCTACATGCTGAACTCCAGAAGGGAGATGTTTCATAAGACTTGATACAAATCCTAAACTGCTTGTGCTTTTATTGTTAGTACTTTGAAGTGCTGTGGGCAATGCAGGCCACCTCCTCCTAAAAAAAAAAACCAAACCCAAACCCCAGGAACTGAATTCCTGTTCAATTTCTAAGCCTTTTTTCATTTTTCCAAAGGCTATGGTACAATCATTAAAATTCTTAAAATCTCTCTTAGCAAAATTCTTGTGTCCAATGGCTGTCTCTTCTTCCATTGACAGTAGTAGTTTAAACATACCTGAGTGCTGGCTCCAATATCTTGCTTTCTGCTTTTGGGATAACTGACCAGGTGAATATTTATTCTTAGCTTGGCCCCTGGCAGCATGTGGGGTTTTGGACCTTTACCTCTTTCCAGACTTCAGCCTTCTACTTGTGAGATGCTGAACTTGAAAGAGAGCGTTTTCCACCCTTGGGTACCGAAGCAGCACTGGCCCCGCATTGCAGGTTTCTGTTCCGCACCATTTTAGTAGGCAGAGACCAAAAGGACCCTTTTGTCCTGGGAAGCTCTTGAGCACATTAACTCTGGCTGCTGCTGCATTCTCTGCTCTGTAGAGAGTGACTGTAACACTGGACTTAAAAGACTTTTCTTTCTTTGCAGAAAAAGTTAGAAAACCTGAAGAGTCTAGATCTTTTCAATTGCGAGGTAACCAACTTGAACGATTATAGAGAAAACGTATTCAAGCTCCTCCCGCAACTCACATACCTCGATGGCTACGATCGGGATGACAAAGAGGCACCGGACTCTGATGCAGAGGGCTACGTGGAGGGCTTAGACGACGAGGAGGAAGATGAAGATGGTATGTGAATTGTGCTACTTAGTGTATGTAAGTTAAAAGATCAATATGCTGCCTAGTACATTTTGCTTCCAGCTCTGACTTGTTGGCAAGAGAAGGGTGTTCTCAGCAGCTCCTTCCTGACTGATGTAAAGGAGAAGTACCTCAGTGTCCTCTGAAGGAACGAGGGGAAAGGAGATGGGCAGGGCCTGAAAGAGCTACTTTCTCAGTCTTATCTCTAGTGAAAGATCGGGATGACAAAGAGGCACCGGACTCTGATGCAGAGGGCTACGTGGAGGGCTTAGACGACGAGGAGGAAGATGAAGATGGTATGTGAATTTGTGCTACTTGGTGTACGTAAGTTGAAAGATTGCTGTGCTGCGTGGTACGTTTTGCTTCCAGCTCTGACTTGTTGGCAGGAGAAGGGTGTCCTCAGCAGATCCTTCCGGCTGATGTAAAGCAGAAGTACCTCAGTGTCCTCTGAAGAAACGAGGGGAGAGGAGATGGGCAGGGCCTGAAAGAGCTGCTTTCACTGTCTTCTCTCTAGTGAAAGGTGGGGGGTGAGGAGGTGGTAGAAGAGTACCAGGCCAGGGTGAGTAAGACAAGCAGTAAGACACCGAAAGAGTTGGGGGAACAGTAAACCCCAGGGGATGAGGACACAAGGGAGAAATGGGTAAGAAAGGATGGCATGCATGTGCTGCGCTTTTCCAGGAACAGGACAATTGGGGAAGTATGAGCCATTGTGTAGGCCCTGATGGAGAAGGGTAGGGTGGAGAACCGGATCGGGCATAGAAAAAAGTAGCTGAGTCAAGGAATTAAGTAAAGGAGCCAAGGCATTAACAGGAGGTCGTAGCTGCTCTGTGAGGACAAAGTGAACTAGTTGGTATCAGGCAGGAGGGAGGAGAGTGAGTGTATTGAAGTCTGCCTGGGGCAAGCTCTGTGAAAGGCACTAACGAAGCAGCAAGCAACTCTTTAACGTTAGGAAAATGCACGGTGGGTCCCACTGTGCTGTAGGTGCCGTTCTGCCTCCCCGGCAGCCTGCACTCGGAGGCATCAGTGTACCGGTCGGATGAGTATCCGGCTGCGTTGGGGGAATTTGCTAGACTCTTCAAACCCAGCTGCACAGCAAAAGCAGAATAGCTGGACTTGCACTTTTCCCTCGAGTGCTGAATGCGAGCTCTGGTGAGGGGCGAGTGCTGCAGCAGCGCCTGGCAGAGCTGTGCATGCAGCCAGGTTCAGCAGGGACAGAGTCTCCTCATCAGAGCACAAGTCTGGGCCTGCATTCAAACGCATGAAAAAGCTCCAAAACACCATTCCTGCAGCACGGAGAACACTTTCTGGTTGGTTGCTTGAGCTCGTTGCATTTAATCTCTTTCCTCTTGAAAAGAGATTGCAAAGCTGTAAGTTGGATTGCGTGTGACCCTTTTGTATGGCTCTGGCAGTGTCAAGGCAAGGAGTGTCCCTCGGGGTGTGGGGGGGTACCGGTGCATGGTTGGCTTGTAAAGTTCTGCTCTATCCCTGGGGGGAGCAGATGGACACTTGGAGAGCTGCAAGCATCCCACGGGCTCAGAAATGCGTATTGGTGGTGGGAACGGGAGTGGCTGAAGCTAAAGCGTTCCCAAGGCTGCTGCGACTTACTGTCAAGGCCCCTGCGGCCCTAGAGCAGCTCAGACCATGGGTGCCGCTGCCTCAGTACCCTGTCGGTGGGCTACAGAGGCATGGGACTGTACATGTGGCCCTGTCTAGCAGCTGGAGAGCTGCCTTTAATTCTGTACTGCCCTTAAGCGGTGCTTTCAGCCTGCTCCTTGTGTCGATAGGAGGTCACCTCTCAGGTGGCAGTGTTGGAAAAAAGTAAACTTCAAATGTCTGAGCGGTTAATCTTGTTTGACTGTATAGAAGAGGAGTATGATGATGATGCTCAGGTAGTAGAAGATGAAGAAGACGAGGAGGAAGAGGAGGAAGGAGAAGAGGAGGATGTGAGCGGAGAAGAGGAGGTAAGGATTTATGCAGTTAATAATGGGTGTGGGGTTGATTATTCCCTAACTGGGAATAGTTGGGCAAGAAATGCACCAAGTACTGGAGGCTTTTAGTACTTGAAGCCTGTGCTTTCTTTTTTACTTGTGAAGCATCACAGCGGGGGGTGGCTTTGAGGCGTGCCTGTCTATGAGCCAGCTGCCATCTAGTGACCATTGACATGAAATCATTCTGTTTATTGGGCTGATGTCAAAAACACTGCCGGGAACATCTGCAGGCTTAGTTTGTGGTGCCTTTGAAGGGCTGGGGTAACAGCCTCCGTACAGCCGAGAGAGTGGCGTGTGACTTACTGACCCTGTGCTCTCCGGGCAAGGTTCCTCCTTGGGATGCTTAAATTCTTAGTGTAGGCCAGCTTCGGCGCACAGGGTGCGCTGAGCCAGTCACAGTCTGCCGAGGCTTTGCTGTTAGCACTGCCGCTGGGAACACGGCTGAAATTCGACTGTAGGAGGTCGCATTACCTGTCCTCCAGCCAAACAATCTTAGGTACTTAGCCACCACTCCTGAATGGTTGCTCAGCCTCTTCTCAAACCCAACAGCAGCTCCTCAGGCTCCGAGATGACCTACCCCTAGGACACGCGCCTTTTCCTACTGACCAGTCATCGAGTTCTAGTAAACTCAGAACATCATCACAAACTTTGCAGCTACGTATCGGCGTGAAGTATAAAACCATTTTCTCGCTGAAGACTTGAAGCTAGAAGTGGCTGCTATGATTGCTTGTGATTTTCTGTAATGAAATTTGGGCCAGAGTCCAGTTATACTGTAGCAAAAAAGTGCACTTATATAAGTGCGTGGGAAGCGTCTGCCTTTTTGTTTGGCTTTTGTTTGAGATGCTTCAAGGACCTTCGCTCTGTTGTAAAACGCTGTCGGATATTGCCAAATCGTGAAGGATCCTGCACTGAAACCAACCTTTTTAATCCTCCTTTTTTTTTTTTTTTTATTAATCCAGGAGGATGAAGAAGGCTACAACGATGGTGAGGTAGATGACGATGAAGATGAAGAAGAGCCCGGTATGGCAGTAATCCAGTTTGTGCTAGAGATAAAATAATTTGTTTTTTTTTTTTAAAGTAAAATACCGTTTTCTAAAAAGCAGGCTCATGTTCGTATTCCTGCTCCTTTGATGGCAAGCCAGTTGCCAAAGTAGAAGCTTGTTGAACTTGTTCAGCTTCTCAGCAGCGTGAGGGAACGCTGATATAATTCCAAGTTGTGTTTTATTTTCTAGATGAAGAACGGGGACAGAAGAGAAAACGAGAACCTGAAGACGAAGGGGATGAAGATGACTAAACTGAATAACCTATTTTGAAAATTTCCTATTGTGATTTGACTGTTTTTACCCTGTATTTCCCCTCCCCACACCCCCAACCTTTTTTTTTTCTTATTTTTTCTTTTTTTTTTTTTTTTTTTTTTTTTTTTCTGATTGTAATGTTGCTGTGGGAACGAGAGGGAGAAGCAGACTGGGTGGGCAAGGGAATAAAATACTATTTTTACTGCCACTCCTCCTCCTATTCGTTTTAAATTTTTTCTTTTTGTCCCTCTCTTAGTCCCTGTAACTGCAATAGTAAGTATAAACCAAGTGGTAATTTGTTTCTTATTATTGGAGTGGATAATTTTATAACTTCAAAAAAAAAAAAAAAAAAAAAAAAAAAGACAAAAAAAGTTTTAAGACCAGTGGATGATCCCCCAAACAGATATACTCTGTCCTGAGACAGCTGAATAGCGTTGGTTCTTGGGATTCTTCTACCGCTGCCAGTCACTAAACACATTGTAAGCATTTTTATGGGGAATGCTGCAAATCTGGGCGAAGCATCCCGCCACAGCAACAGGTGTGAGAATGGCATATTGATAAAGTGATTTATTTGTTGCCTGTCCGTGAATGACTGCCATTTTCAGCCAATGCTTTCCCTGCTCTTGTAGGTACCTTTTATTTTGCTGTTTGTAAATAGTGACCAAATGTTTTCGTTGGGTTTTTTGGGGTGTTCCTTTGGATCTGGTTTGTGGGGTGAATTTGCAGTCCCCCCCTCTCCCCGCCTTCCCCGCCCTGTGTGTTGTGTGTTTTCCTTTCTGTTTGTTTTTGGGGTTTTTTTCTTTTGTTTTTTTTTTTGGCTAGGGTATAGCCAATACACTGAAAATGGCAGGCATTTAAATATATATATAAATATATATAAAAAGTGTTCCTAATTCCTGAGTTACTAGTGAAATGAATTTGACAATTGTAATAAAAAAATGTTTCAACCCTTTTAAATAAGGTGTGTACTATTTTGGTCTGTAATATATAACACCTAGTCGATTTTAAGTGATGAGAAACTACTTCCACTTGTGCTATATACTTTGAAAATTTTTACAAACCTGAATACAGGAGGCAGTTCAGCATGTAGGGTAGGAGGTTTCTTTTCATACACTCAAGCACGAGATACTAATACAAAATTGTATTTTCTTACCTAGTGGAAGTCAGTAAAATGACTGAAAATACCTAGTGAATGTACAGTTTTACTTTCATATCCCTCTTTAAAATAGCTTTAGAAGTGACTTGTATTTCCTAGTCAATATTTCATCTGTATAAATACATTTGCAACAGGTTTTGTTTTTTTTTTTTTCCCAGAAGAGCCAAACTTTTGAGTTTTATGTCTGTTTGTCATTGATGAATTTCAATAAATCTTTTTATACAATTTTTCTGTGGCTTATTTGAGTACAATGGGCCACTGGGAAGGAATCGCATACCTTTTTAAAAAGGCATTTACTAAGCTATTCTGGTAAATTCCCTGATATTTTTAGTAGCTTGATGATACGTTTTGCACCTTAAAAACTACTCTTAGCCATGGTTGGGTGAAGCCAAGGGAGAGGTTTTGGCTTTAACGCAAATAATGGCACGGCATTTTTCTTTCACAATGAGGGTTTCTTCTCTGTCACCAGCGTGGTTATTGCAGTTAAGCGTGTTCGTTTCTACTCTTTAATCCTGTCCCTATTTATCCAGGCCCAGAAGAACAAACTCTGGATTTCCTTCGCCTGAGCGAGGTGCTGTGGTTCGGTGTCCGAGTTCTGGGTCAGGATACCTAGGAGCTGCGGCCAGCCGGGACGAGGGCTGGCTGCTGTGACTCGCTGCCCATCCAGAGCTAAGTCTCCGCGTTTTCCTCTCTTGTGAATGAGTTGTGTGTTAAAGGCGAATGGCACAGCAAGTAGCATATCCCCTGTACTTAAATTTGAAGTTTCTGTGCTGTGCAAGAGTGTGAGAAGCTGTGGAAGATCACGTATTGCTCCTTAACTGGGTCTCTTTGGAAAAAAAACCCAACATGCCTTTTTTGTAGGTGGGAAGCGAAACCATCCTGCAGGTTGGTGTAGGGTGGGGTGGGGCTTTTTGTCTGTGTTTTGGGTTTTTGGTGGGGTTTTTTTTTAAGAGGAAATACAACTGTGCAAGGTGCTCCCTCCCCAGCCGGGATCTGCTGCTGGGAAACCGAAACCACCGACTGGCAGGGCAGGGCAGGGCCAGGCTCCTGCAAAGCAAACAGCAGCCGCCCGCCCTGGGTGTCACGGGGCAGGGCCAGCAGCTCCAGGGCTGCAGCCCAAACAGAGCCCTTCTGTCGCTCTAAGCCAGCTTAGCCTTAAGACTTCAGTCTGGCTTTATACCGGGAAACTGGGTTTTCTGAGAACCAAGCTTTTTACTGGAGCTGTTAGAAGGAATGGGCAGCAACTGGACCTGACCTTCCCCGCACGGGGAGGCCCCTGCCGGTCCCAGGGACGTAGCGAACGAGCGCGGCCTTTGCATGCAGAAGATGTGGCAGTGCCAGGCTCACGCGGTGGTGCCGAAGCAACATTTGGGTTAACCTTCGTCACCCATGGGCTCTGCTGAGCCACCTCTGCCTTGCAAAGCGGTTTTTCCTCTTTACCCTGGAAGCGCTCGGGAACCCTTCAGCTCTTCACCCCGTGGCCGCGGTCTCATTGACGTGATGCTTCTCTTTGCACTCCTAATTGTTTTAAAGCTTACTTTGGAATTCGTTAGGTTTCTCAAAGAGAACTGCAGCTACCCATGCCTCGCGCTTGCTGCTTTCCCCGGGAAGCAGCGTCCTGTTTGCCGTTCAGCTCTGCTGAAGCACTAATCCCGGGAGAGGAGAGAGGGAAGGGGGGAGGCGGGTATCTGATGAGCAGCAAGGTTTTGACTGTGTGCGCTGGGAGGGGGGAAATTAAGCGACTTCTGACTGCCTGCTGCCACTGAAAACAAAAACGAGGTTTGCCCAGTGTGGATAATTTCCTAGTTATTTCATATTTCCTAGTATGTAAAGTACAATCTTGTCACGCTGAGAACCAAGGGCTCGCTCCCCCAAGTGCTCTGTGCTGGCTGAAGGGACTTAGCAACTTGCAACCATGCTGAGCAGCTTACCAACTCTTGGAAAAAAACCAAACCCCAGCATTTGGTAACA